ATGATTTCTGAAAAAGAATTACATACTGATTTCAGAAAGCAGCAGACATAAAGGTCTGCAATATGCATATGAGGGATATAAATATTATAATAAAATAATTTAAAAATTATAATAATGATGATTCCTTACATTTATATAGCGCTTTTTACACATTTTTGGGAGAATCGCCTCATCCACCACCAGTGTGCAGCATCCACCTGGATGACACGACAGCAGTCATATTGCGCCAGACCACACACCAGCTGATTGGTAGAGACAACCAATTAGATATATGGGAATGATTAGGAGGCCATGATGGACCAAGTGGGCAAATTTAACCCAAGTGGGTAGAGTTAAACCCCTACTATATACTTCAAAGCTGAAGTAACAATAGATTATAAAGTGACTCAAAGATTGAAGTTATAGCCTACAAGTATCGTGGTGAGACGTTGGGTTCATTTGAAAATAGATCAAATGTTACTGATTTCCTAACATACTTTTACAAACACACTCTGAAGCGGTGCCGACGGATCTACAATGCAGTTCGGCAACGCTTGACATCACCCATTCAAAGTGAATGGGAAGCGTTGACGCTGACGCCCAGTGTGAATGGGGCGTTACTCTACTATGATGCCTGTCAGACTAAATGCAGTGACGGAAGCACAGAATATGATTGGCTGGACTGCCTTTCAATCAAACTGCCTAAAAAGGGTCAACTGACTAATAAGTCTGTCACACAAAGAGCACAGTCAGGCATTTGCTGTTGGATACATATTTGTTCATTCATTCATTTTCTTTTCGGCTTAGTCCCTTTATTAATCCAGGGTCGCCACTGCGGAATGAACCGCCACCTTATCCAGGATTAGTTTTACGCAGCGAATGCCCTTCCAGCTGCAACACCCATACAAACTCACTCCCACACATACACAACGGAGAGTTTAGCTTACCCAATTTACCAATTCCAAATGTCTTTGGACTGTGGGTGAAACCAGAGCACCTGAAGAAACCCACGCAAACATGGGGAGAACATGCAAACTCCATACAATAATGCCAACTGACCCAGCCGGGGTCAGCAACCTTGTTGCTGTGAGGCGATCGTGCTACCCACTGCGCCACCATGCAACCCATACATATTTGTGTTATACCTAAATATTGAAATCACATTCAAACCAAAGCCTTTTGTGATTCGCTAACTGCAATGCTTCATATTGCAATAATAATAATAATAATAATTCCTTACATTTATATAGCGCTTTTCTGGGCACTCAAAGCGCTTTACATAGTGGGGGGGATCTCCTCATCCACCACCAGTGTGCAGCATCCACCTGGATGACGCGACGGCAGCCATTTTGCACCAGACCGCACACCACACACCAGCTGATTGGTGGAGAGGAGAGAGTGATGCAGCCAATTGAATATGGGGATGTTTAGGTGGCCATGATGGATGAAGGCCAGTGGGCAGATTTGGCCAGGATGCCGGGGTTAAACCCCTACTCTTTTCGAAGGACATCCTGGGATTTTTAACGACCACAGAGAGTCGGGACCTCGGTTTAACGTCTCATCCGAAAGACGGCGCTCACTGAGCAGTATAGCGTCCCCGTCACTATACTGGGGCATTAGGACCCACACAGACCGCAGGTTGGGCGCCCCCTGCTGGCCTCACTAACACCACTTCCGGCAGCAACCTAGCTTTCCCATGTGGTCTCCCATCCAGGTACTGACCAGGCGCAGCCCTGCTTAGCTTCAGTGGGCGACCATGTGAGAGTTGCAGAGAGCTAGCTGCCGGCTAGTATAATAGCGATTCAAGTGCAATCGCTAGTATAATAGCGATTCAAGTACAATAGCGATTCAAGTGCAATGAATAGCTAAGCCATACTTCTACAAACTGTGAAGACGTTCCTCCAGTGCAAAAGTCGCTCTTGGGAGAAGGTTTTGAATGTCTTCATATAATAAGAATGCCCCCCTCAGTAGAAATTGCACTGGGCCCTTTTTCTGAACAAGGCCTTTGGAATCGCTGTAACCTTCCCCCCATTACAGCACCCCTGACCTTCACATATTAGACAATAAATCTGACATGTTCTTGACAGCAAACGAAGAGATTTAGTTGATTTATGTAATCAACCGAGATTGCAAAACCTCTGGTTCTATACACACACCACTCCAATAGGGATCTGAATAGGCATCTCCAGCATTAAAGGGCTGGCATGGAAGCAGCTTCGCCTGTCAGTCCAGGACAGCAAGGTAACTACATGGCTTCTGCCATACTCAGTCTTCTAAAAGCCAGGGTACGCTTCTTTTTCTGTGCCGTCTGACAAGAATTCTTAGTGTGTTCAACCACAGATTTGCATGAGTTTGAACATTCCCACTGTGCGCTTCTGTTGTCGCATTCAAATCATTTGAAAAGACAGAACGTGTGCACTGAAGACCGAGGACACTTCTGATAATGATGTGAGAGAGTGCATGGATTGACCATGACTATCTGGGTCGCAGCACCAATGTAACCCCTCCTGTTCTACTCAAACTGCTCCGAGATGGTGCCGACCCGGTGTCTCCGACATTGGAGCCTGGTAAGGTAATAGGGCTGCAGCTAAAGACCGCAGCCAGTTGCTAATGCACGTTTTGAGGCAAAGAGGGGTGAGGTTTAATTGCACAGCTCCTGCTAGCAGGCGTCCATTACATGAGGAGGGGGATGTGCTTAGCTGGTTAGGATTAATTGCATTTTGTCCTCCAGACCAACCAATTTTTTAAAAACTGTTAGTACATCAAGTCCGAGTAAATTATAATGAAAACAGGTAAACTATTTTTGACTAAATATGACTAAATTGAAAAAAAAGAAAAAACTTTAGTAACGTTCTGAGAATTTGGTAAGACATGAACCTTTCACCTCTCAGTGCCTGTTGTGTATTTGGTTGGGGTTTGAGTTTGATTCAAGAGAGTCATTGCCAAACCCACAGAACCAAACTCACCAAAAAGGAATGTTCATTCATACGAGTTACTCCACAAATCTTCTTCACCAAAGAGGAAGGAATCTTTTCCAGAGAACGATCACATGATGCAGGAGCGCTCTGGGATACAGGATGTGTGGGCCTCTCGCCCACCCCGAGCAGCGGCCACCACAGCCCACATCACTGACTCACTTCCTGTTTCTTAGTCATTCATTAAAACAGCTCCATTTCTCTCAGCCGTCACAAAATGGCTGCCTGTTTAACATCAGCGGGTGACTGTTCACAGAACCGAATCACCACAAAAGTGACGGCTAAACCTCAAAACAACAGATGCGGTTAGGAGAGGCAGTGACTCTTACAGCCTGCAAACTATTCGATGCATGTGTAAACTCATGTAAAAAGGGAAGGTGAAAATGTGTGTGCACACCTGACTGAAACTTTATTGGGTTAGTGGGAGTTCTCTGTTTTTTGACACACTGACCCATTTCCACATGAGCGACTCACACACTTGTGCGCTGAGGTGAAACTGGACGTGGCCCCATAAGCTTGTTAGCGCCTGTTAATTACTGAGGCAAGAGATCGAGCCACTTTTCCTTCCAATACGTCCCACGTTGAGACGGATGGATGATTTAGGCAATAACGAAGCTGAAAAGAAGGTTCTGAAATGCTGAGGAAGAAATCATCCTCAAAAATAAAATAAGAAAACTGAACAGGTCCAACAGTTGGAAATCCTGTTTTATTTTTCTCATCAGTCTTGTCAGTTGATATTTTTTGTACACATTTTCTCCCATCTCCTCTCATTCATGATTCAAATCTATTGATTTCCAGTGCTGTATTAAAAAAGGAAGTACTCACAGACTGCCCTGGGATCATGTCCAGTTTTATCGTGAGGGAAAAATAACAAAGTCATGGGAAGGGTAACTAAGACATAGAAAAAGCAATGGGAGAGGGAGAGAAAGGGGGGTCACGTTCAATATCCAAGCCATCTCTCATACGTCGGCATGTCCCTTGGGTCCTGAGCTATGCGCTGTAGTCATCTTAGACCATATGGTTCCTATAAACTGTGAAATCCTGAAGCCCATTAACTTCTGCTGCCTCTATCGCAGCCATCACTCTGAGCTCCACCACATGAGCTCCTCCTATGCAAATGCATGTGTAAATGTGTGATTTCACACAGAGTGTTTATGTGTGTGTGCCTGCATATGTGTGACTTTCATCAATTCTGCTATTGACAGATTTGGAATGTATAGACAAGCAATCTTTAAACCTAATTCCCCAGTACACGCCCACTGCTGCCCCACCAATTGCTGGAAAACATTGTATTAACTCATGAATATTAATTAGGCAGATATTCTTCAGCACACACCCAAGATTCTCCTGACACAAGTTGCCATGGGAGACTTTCACCACAGGCTTCTCTCATCATCATCTCTCTTTCCCCAATTAACACCAACTCTGCTAATAATCCTCTTTTAAAAAGAAAAGACTGTAACATTAATGATTACACATAATCTTTAACAAATGTAAGACGACAAGAGGAGTTAAGCAAAGAGCATCTTCAGCTTGAATATGACAAATGAAGTACTGGTAAAAAGAAATGACACTTTGGTGTATCATTTCTATTTCAAGGCTCACCGTGACATCCCAAAGCAGGAAAAGACGATTCTAGTTCCGTCAACAGAATTTATAAATATTTAATTGTGCAATAGTACGTCAGCTGAAAAAAATGGATGCGATTAATTTCCTAAAAGGCCTAATCACAAAAGCACTCACACAAAACCGAAAACAGTTCTGGTTTAAGCATATAATGAGATGCATGCTAAGAAAACATAATAACTGCGTGCATCATTTTGTCTTTCATTATTCCATCCCAAGCCAGCAAAGCCCCAAACCGCCGCACGTACACTAAAACGATGTCTAGCTAGTCAGCTCGCTAGATATTGAGACACTGCCGCTGTGCGTGCGCGCGCGCAAGCCAGAGGAGTTAAATACATTCTGTCCCAGGTAAAGGATCTACTGACCCACTGCGAGTACATCCTGTAGTCTTTATCATCTGCAATGCCACACTTTACATACCTGCTTTCGATATGATGGCGTTCTCAGCGGATTAGCCGTATTTGCGAAGATCATCCTGTATTCCCCTGCGTTCTGTGACCCAATGATGAATTTAAAAAATCTACTCTCAAAATCAGTTGTTATTAGGTTACAGTAGAGAACTGTAAATTTTCCACATCGCACACTGTAATGTTGGCCTCGGAGTGATGTGATAATCCGTCCCTGAGCAGATATAAATTTCTGCTAAATGGAAAACCTCGCTCTTGATCGATGGTTTATTCCCACCTTGGCTCGTCCGACCAGTTTCGGTAAATCGCCTGGTTCATTGATCTCGGTTCTGTTGCCCGCAGCGAAGACCCACCTACTGAGGAACGATCCATTCTGCGCTCACAGGGTAGGGTGATGGCGTATCTAATTATTCATATGTGACGTGCGTTTTAGAAAATCGCTGCTAAAAATGCACAAAACATCTGATTTTATAGTTTAAAGTAAGCCTGTTTTAAAAACACTAAAAGAAAAACATCAACAAAGCGTGTCATTTTCATGTAAGCGTGAACCTTATCCCCCTACTAGCGGTTTGGTTCAACCCCGCACGCAGGCAACACATTCCACTACCTCGCCATCAGATCCCATCTACAATACACACAACAGACTGTCCCACTATGGCCCGGGTGGTGGTCCCTGCATACAGATACAAGCTAATTAACAATTTACTGTATATTTGTATGCTGTAAACGGATTTAAATCTGCATTGAGTGCTTATTATTACTTTTTTGCTTTTAAAAAAAGTTTTACTCATGTAAAAATGATAAGCATGTTTTAAAATATAGTTTGATAAACATATTTTATTCTGCTTGCTGGCTGAGAGCAGACTGACCCAACACTAACCCTGCCATTTTGATGTGTGTTCACACTTGCTAACTTTGGTTCAGTTAAAAGAAATACTGCTAAATTTGAATACATGTGAATGCTTATATCTGGTGTGGATGATGGAGACCGACACCTTGTTTACACCTGGAATTGACAGGCATTTTGGTCAATTAAGTCTGACTAAAGGAAGAATCCAAACATTTTGTCTACTTTAAAACACTTTTGTGACGAGGCAGGCTCTGTGGGTTGATATACAGTTGAACTCAGAATTATTAACCCTCCCTGAATTATTAGCCCACCTGTTTATTTTTTTTCCTCAAATTCTGATTAACGGAGAGATTTTTTTAACACATTTCTAAACATAATAGTTTTAATAACTCATTTCTAATAACTGATTTATTTTATCTTTGCCATGTTGACAGTAAATAATACTTGGCTAGATATTTTTCAAGACACTTCTATACAGCTTAAAGTGACATTTAAATGCTTAACTAGGTTAATTAGGTTAAATAAGCAGGTTAGGGTAATTAAGGAAGTTAATTTATAACGATGGTTTGCTCTGTAGACTATCAAAAAATATATAGCTTAAAGGGGCTAATAATTTTGTCCTTATGGTGTTAAAAGAATTAATAGCTGCTTTTACTGAAATAAAACTAATAAGACTTTCTCCAGAAGAAAAAAAATATTATCAGGCATACTGTGAAAATTTTCTTGCCCTTTTAAACATAATTTGGGAAATATTTAAAAAAAGAAAAAAAAATTCAAAGGTGGGCTGATAATTCTGTCTTCAACTGGATGTATAGGCATTATTGATCTTTTTCAGGGGCACCCAAACTTTTTCTTATGAAAGGCCAAAAACCAAAGTCGATTAAGGCTAGTGAGCCAAAGGTGAATGTAGTTGCCATGGGTAAATTCCTAATTTTCTTAATAATATTTCAAAAAGACTAGAAAACATTGCTTTAAATTAACTAATACAGCATTTTATACATTTTATAATGAACTTATTACAGTAAAAACAAAACAATCCTATTTGTAACACAATTACACTAGTTTTTCCCTTGACTTGCTCGCCAATGTCTTCTGCCTAGTCCTCTATCTATCGAGTGACAGTATTTCTATTTTAAAAAATCAGATTCATTTACAGGATTTAATTATTTAATTTCAGTCGATTTTTTTGTAGCTTAGCAATAAAATTAACAAATCAAAGCTGCAAGCAGCGACGAAAGGGACCTCGTGCTAACAATACATATTATGTCAAATTAGATATTACGTTCTCTGTGTTAAAGGCATTCGCCCCAACCCTCTCTATCATTCTCACTATCCTTTAAGTTGGGATGGTGGGCCAAATCAAAGGTTACAAAAGCCCACCTTTGTCCCGCGGCCCTACTTTGGACATCTCTGATCTTTTTGTACAACAATACTAAAAAAGCTTCTGCAGTCACTGTACATTAAAAAAATCATCTATATGCTCTTTTTTCATGACATTTTTAGAATTAAAAATACTTAGGACAATGTTAAAATTCTGTCTTCTCTTTTCTTACCTTTCCATGGCCTCGCAGTGTGACGTCACAGTTAATTAGTTAATTTATAGGTGGAGAATGTATACTTGAATTTGCTATGGAGAACGGCACTTCCTCTGGTGAACCGTTATTCCACAGAGAGGTCATTTTGTTCCAACTCTTTTTGTGTTGCCGTCTTGTGTTTTGTTTTGTATTTTGTTGAGAGAATTTCAGCTGATTTCTTATTTATTTTTAAATCCCTATACAGTGTGTTATACTTTGTTATTCCCTTTATTAAATTTTTATTTCATTATATACCTTTTTGTGTATTTGATCCTTTTTTATGGTACGGTCGGGAGCGAGCTGGCCGTAACAACACATAAAGACGGTGAAACATATTAATTTAGGAATATAATTAAGCTGTTATGTCTTAAGAGTGCAGGAATATACAATTTTAGCATGCATATAGCCTAAGGTATTGTCAGTGTTTAAACTTTGTTTTAGTTTTCCACAGATGCCACAGTTTAAATTGTTTTTGCACTTTTTGTCCTTTAAACCAAATTTAGGATAATAGACATCAAAGTTGATCCCGTCTGTGCATTTCACCAACACTGTTTAAAAATGACGCCAGTAGACAGAGAGAAACTGCTCCTTAATGGCTGTTCAAATATATTCTGCAACATGACCTTGATGTTAACAATACCACCTAATATTAGACCCTTTTTCAACCTTTACAGCTGGGTCCAGCTGTGATTGGGCTGACGATTCCTAATATCAGGTGTAAACACTGGGGAAAGGTGAAAGGTTTCACACCTGAAAAAGTGAGTCTCATTTCGCTAACTCCTCCGCTGTTTTGGCTAATTTACAAATTTATAAGCTCTTTACGAGTTCTCCGCTAATTTAAATCAGTATGCTGGTGTATTTGCAAACAATTCACTTGCGATAACTCTGTGAAATTGTTCGAAAGTAAATGTTCTAGATTACATTTTTTTGAGACGTCCACAAATATCTCTTTAAATCTGATCCAATGCTGTAATAAAGAAAGAAAGCTGTTTGAAAGATAGTTTTTATTGTTAAGTTAATATTATTATGAATAATAATACATATTATTGTTAATTATTCGAATAAAAAAAAGTTATTATGTGCTTGTATAACTTCAATAAAACAAAATTATACGTATATTACTGTCAAATATTATTAAGCATTGACTTGTGTGTATATTAATGTCGGATGTATAAAATATTTAAAAATATTATAAAATACAAAAAATATAAAATATTATAAAAATATATAAAATATTATAAAATAATCAAAATAATTCTAACAGTTTATCATTATCTTTAATAAATTATCAATTTTAATGTGTGTAGATTTCATATATGAGAAATTATGATTGTTTTTTTGTGCTTTTATTAATTTATCATAAAAATTACAAGAGCATCAATTTATTATTTAACAACAACAAAAAACAACAATAAAAAATAATAATAATAATAATAGTCTGAGCAAATGAACCAAGAAAACTAAACTATATACATAAACACAATATAGTGTTTTACAGTAAGCTTCTAGTAGTTAATGTTAGCTAATATATTTAATAACATCAACTAAGTATGAACAATACATGATCAGTATTCATTAATCATAGTCAAACATTTACTAATGCATTATAATTTAATGTTATTATTCCAGAATTAACAAGAACTAACAATCAACGAAGACTAATAAATACTATAACAAATGTATTGTTCATTATTTGTTCAATACATTAACTAACATTAAACCTGACTGTATGTATTGACAAACAGTCCACTTGCGATGCTTTTTGGGAGGAAAGAACCCCATTTCTACATGCAAACTAAACTACATCAACTAAATTTCCAACTCTGTGAAACTGATGGAAACAGACAAAAGTCGCGTGTGGTATTTGATAGCAGGGGTGTGTGAACTAGTTCCCTCTTGCAACAGTAATAACAAGGCTGAAATGAAATGACACCTCCTAGAGGGTTGCCCAGGGCACGTCTTATCTACTTTTTGTCATGGTAATGCCCCTCTGTAATCACATTTCACAGCTTATGTACTGATTCAAGGAACACCTAGTGTTATCCGGGCGACACTCTGCAATTTGGTGCAGGACAAATATTGATGTATTTGATATATATGAACTAGAATGCCACACAGGTGCCTGAAAGGAAATCTAAATGTGCTTGAATGCTCATTTGATGAGGTGTATTAGGGATGTTTTAAGGTGAGATGCTGCAGGTAAAAAGGTTTTACACCTGCCAATTTTGGGGGGCTGTTCATTTTAGTGTAATTTTAAAGTTTATTTTTTCTCAAACTGTATCATTTTTTCCCCTATAGAATTTAAATACACCTTTTTAAAGGACATTTTTTTTCTCTTGCACTGAGCAGCAGACAATTGAAGGCAAAATTATAGAATTGAAGGCAAAATTAGTAGCCCTCTTGGGAAATTTTTATTATTTACAAATATATATTTCCCAAGAGATTAGGGACATTTTCAAATCCTATTTTATATATATATATATATATATATATGATATTAATATGTTATTATATATTAAATATTTTTTTAGATTATAATTTAAAAATTTAAAAAATATTTTTAAAAGATTACAAAGTTACTTTTTTCTTACTGCTTATTATGATTTTGCAGTATTCTACTGTAATCAAAGTAATCAAGTACTGCTACTGTAGTTGAAGACAAAAATGTGACAGTTATTGAAGAAATTGTCACTTGATTAGAATTTATTCAATTTAATAGTAAACTAAAATAAAGCTTTTGTACTGCATGTGTAAAATGTAAATGCATTACAGTAAAAGTACTGTAATAAATGTCATACTGTAAAATTAAAAAGGGCATTTTACCATAAAAAGAAGTTGTGGTAAGGCTATTTTACAGTAAAATGAAATTGCAGTAGGACCCTGCTGCTGTAAAACAAATTTACAAGTAAGTTTCTGTCA